TAAAGATTCTTTGCATTTTAAATTTACAATACGGTAACGGGACCAAACGTCGCCCCATGTAAGGTAATCCGGAATCCGGAATCCAGGTAGTTTTGGTCTGTGGAATCCGGAATCCGCGGCTTTGGAATCCGGAATCCAGCTAATGGAATCCGGAATCCAAGCATTGTAATCCAGAATCCAGGTTGCTGGAATCCACTCTGTTGTGATGGTTCCAGGGACTCTTCTTTTCCTTTAGCGACTGTAGCCTGCGTAGCAGGCGCTAGGAAATAAATGGGCGAGCGCCTGCTACGCAGGCTATAGCGACTGTTGCGTGAAAATCTCATGTCGCAAGGACGCGCAACAGGCATGTTCGCGCGTGTTTCACTCGCAGGAACATCCCTTGTCATTGTGACATATCGGGTATCAATTTGAAACAATGGTCACATTATAATGACGTGACAGAATCCCAGGGAGTGATTCATATTGCTGTATATTATCGCTCTTTCGAGCTCTTTATAAGACACCCTTTCGACCGGGCCTTTCGACCTTTTTCCCCGTTGCGCCTTTGGAATCGGAGGTTTAGATTCTTTTCCTGTTTGGGCGCAATTGGAACTAATTTTTGGATTTCAGGTAAGTAAGTATCCTTATTCTTGGCCGTAGTATCAGTAGTCGGGGTGGTTGCAGTTACTGGCTTCTTTCAGGCACATGTCATCAGTGTCACTCAAAGAATGACATGCTGCACGTGGTGTCGACGTGGTGTCTTTTATTCAGTCCAGATTCAATCAGTCGAAATCAGACATCTCGAGAGATCACTTTGAATTTTTTTCTCAATCGATCGTTATCAATCTTTGTCAGCGTGGGGAAGCACAAGAAAAAGCATGAGTCGGAAAGGTACGTACGTCTATAAATTCGGTGTTTGCGACTTTGTGATGGAAATGTTTTGGCGGCGTGGTTTTGAATAGATCAGAATGAGTTTGACTAATAGTCGCGGGTCGCGGGTCCACAGTCGCGGTTGCGGGTCCAAAGTCGCGGTCGCGGGTCCAAAGTCGCGGTCGCGGGTCCAATGTCGCGGTCGCGGGTCCAATGTCGCGGTCGCGGGTCCAAAGTCGCGGTCGCGGGTCCAATGTCGCGGCAGGGGAAAATGATTTGGGGTTCGAGGTAACTGAGTGAAAACGAGTGATATGAAAAAAATATAAGGGAAAAAAAATCGTTTTTATGCATGATACTCTACGGTAGCCAATTTACAGGTTACGGATGTTACAGTCAACAAAATAATGTCTCAAGAGAAGACCTAAAAGAAAAAGCTGGCCGACTTTTGTGTTCACCGCAAGTTCATTTTGTTTTCTTTCTATCGGGCCCAGTTATGTATAAATTCAGCTTTGAATGTACTTATGCATAACAGTATCTGATAAAAAATGTTACCATGAGTTACCATTGTTTTCTTCTTGTCTATGAATTGCTCACAAATTCTTAGGGGTGCATTCACTGAAAAATGTGCGATACACTTCATAGACTATAAATTATAAACGTTACAACAACTTAAAACCTTTTTTAAAAAAGGCTAACTCGGGCTCGAAAAGCTACGAGTCTGTCGGTAGAAGAAACGAGAACTGTTTCAATTTTAACAAATGTTTTCGGCAAAAATAAAGATAACGCTTGTTGAAAAACTTCCTGGTCGCAAACTCCCAAAATAAACTCTTTGCACAAGTAACTGGAAAGAGGAGGAGTGACGTTGGGCTTGAAGTGCCACTAAAGTACATTCAGGCGAGTATTCAAGGCATGAATTTAATACAGAAACAAGTAATAATCCACAGCAAGAGGGGATAAAGCTCGAGCTTTATCCTCTCTTGTCCACAGAAAGCAGTTTGTTTCTACTAACGATTGAAATCCGGAATCCAAGTTCTACCAAGACAGAATAGATCATAGTCTGTTGGTTCTACTGACAAAGACTTGAATCCAGTACCTGGAATCTGGAATTACTTACCTAATGTATTGTCTTTTCTTAGCTCTGGTGGAGTTGACAACTTACCGTTTTCAGTGTCTGGTTTACTTTCTTTTTCAGCTTCATGATATCGGGCGTTATTATTTCTTTACCTACTTACTCACTTGGTTATTTACGATGCATGTTTTCAAGATTTGACTGAGACGCACATTGAATGGCTTCCTATTGTCAGGTCGTCCTGGTTGCCATTTAGGTGAAGAGAACAAGAAGTTATATTGAACACTCCGGGTTGCCGTCTCAGTTGTAAAAAGAAAAGCATTAAGCGAAAATCTTGCTTCGACTAACAGACACGCCTTGAATACCGCTTGAATGAAGTTTCATGCGCCTATTTACATTTTCTTTCAGTTTTGTCGAAAACATTTGTTAAATATAAGAGTTCTCGTTTCTTCTCTCGACAGACTCGTAGCTTTTTGAGCCCGAGTTCGCTTTTTTTTTTAAAACAGGCTTTAAGTTGTTGTAACGTTTATAATCTGTAGTCTACGAAGTGTATCGCACATTTTTCAGTAAATGAACCCCTAAGCATTTGTGAGCAATTCATCGACAAGAAAAAAGCAATGATAACTTATGGTAACTTTTTTATCAGATACTGCGACCGCGACTTTGGACCCGCGACCGCGACATTGGACCCGCGACCGCGACTTTGGACCCGCGGCCCGCGACCCGCGACTATTAGTCAAACTCGATCAGAATGTGTGAAACAGTAATCTAAAACTTCGAGCAGCTATATCTGTCTGTTTCTATCATGTTCAGATTTATGAGCTAACTATCTTGCAAATTTATGTACAGGAGTCCAAGAAAGAAAGAGAGAAAAGCGGAGAAAGAAAAGAAAAGTTCAAGGTCTGTGGAGTTGTCGTTGTTTGTTCTATTCGTGTTTTCTGCTCAAAAAGCGGTGGTTGTGCGAACACTTACTGAAGCGTTTCTTTGATCAAAATTATATTCGAAGGTGACAGCGTTTAAATACCATTTACAGACATGCTAATTAAATAGAGCATTTGATCAATGAAACGAACATACGAAAGTGAATCCAAAGTAAATTATCGAATTTACTTCACCGTAGAGCTCTGGAAATTGCTTGAAAAGGTCTGAGGAACTTGTCAACTGAATTTCCATTGCAGACATCTTCACATCGTTCCCGGCTCCGCAAAAACGTGTTTTTCTACACGAACCAAGATTTCGTGGCCAAAACCTCTCCACATCTCACTTTTTAGGCAGTCGAGTGTTCTTAGGGGCCTTTCATGTTTTCATAAAACATCCATCAATTTTCTTTTTTGTTAGTTCAACAACGACACAGCAGTTCAATAAGTACACAACAGATCAATAACCACACCAGTAGTTCAATGACTACACATCAGTTCATTGAGCGTAAACTACATGCAGCTGCGGGAAGAATATAGCCACAAATACGTTAGTTATGTTTTAATAAGAACGCATAGCATTAAGTAACTGGTAAATACTCATTTAGCTATGGTACGAGAACTAAATAGATAAATAGCTATGTTACACTGTTATTAAGTTCTCCGGTGATGTCTGTAATGGGAATTCCCCCAAGTGCATTCTAACTCGAGTACTCGACTTTTCTTCCGATGGATCAGACATCATTTTAACAACAGAGGAGGATAACAGGCTCTGTCGATTGCTAATGGGGACTACGGTGACGATGATGACAATGAGAATGAAACTGCACCACCAACTGCAGAGGATGAGGGAGAAGTATCCCTCCCGATAAGACTGCCGGGAGTTAGTTTATCAGGACGGAGAACGACACGGTTTATTCTAAGATAAACGTTTCCGTTGCCTGCGTAGCTTGTAGTATAGTAATTGGACTATCTTCACGCTATTTGTTGGTAAGCTGTAACTGAAGTTTTACATTTCTGTGTGGCAATTAAACAATTCGGAGACGAATTATGTTTGAACCTGAAAATCACTGATTTTGGCAATGTGTACCTCTTTTGTTATTGTTGACGCCGTTGTTATTATTAAACTAAGAATAGCCCTTCCTCGTTAGTATTTCTTCAACGATGTGGACTCAGTGGACTTCAGAAACCGCTCCTATATTCATAATCCTCTCGGGTAAGGCCAAGAATTATATTTTATACTTATATTTTATATAAGACAATGTACACTTCGGGTAAAAAAAGAACAAGCTTTTTTGGTGAAAACAAAGTACAAAGGAAACGTTGAAAACCAGAAAATAGAATTTTGAAATCTGGAATCCAGCCACTTATGGAATCCGGAATCCATGGATGTGGAATCCGGAATCCACAGGCATGGAATCCGGAATCCACAGCGTGGAATCCGGAATCCAAGACTCTCTTGGATTACCTTACATGGGGCGACAAACGTCCACAGGCATTTAGGAAACGAACCCCGGGTTCCGTACTGCAGGTTATTGAATATGTTTATTTAGTATTAATTCCAAAATATTTCGCCGTCTCTGATTGGTTCCAATTCCTCGGCTAATTCTTCATAACCAAACAGCCCTGACCAAATTTGGAAGTTGCGAGCAATATACCATCGATTCGATGGTATGTTTGATTTGAAACGAGACTGCATGGCGCGGCCAAGAGTGAACTAAAAAACAGGCGTTCACGGCTATCTAGAAATAGAAGAAATAGCTGAATTTCTGACTAAAACTGAACGAAAGAAATGCAAGAATACACAACAATATTGCACGATGGATGTTATCTACTTTTCGAGGAGTATCTCTAATAAAAAAAAATCTGCTCATATCCTGAAACCGTGCCGAAAAGAAGCCAAAGTTCCGAAGAAAGTCTAGGAGGAGGTTAGCACGTTAAGAACTTAAACATATGTTTTGAATCAGTCAATAATAAAACCATCGGCGGATAAACATTTTAGACAACAGTCTCCTCGATCTGCATAATTCTTCATAACATACGAAAGCCGAATTCAATAATTGCTAAATATGATGATAGTTATAGTAATTTCATTATGCTAGATACTGTTTGACTCGAGCCCATAGAGACCACACACGATGCCTTTTCAATGCCCTGAAGAATCTTCAGAGCACGTTCTTGTCATAGGCTGTGTAAGTCTCCAGGGAATCCATCTGCTGTGCACCTGGCGATTGATGCTTAAAAATAGGAGTGGTCAATGTGCTCCAACGCTGGTGAAAAAAAAAACAAGAAATACAAATGTACAAATATAAACTCCGTAAAAGCAACATCAATTCATAGCTGTTTTTAGTGATCCTGTATAACCTACCCTAGTGAGAACCGACTGAACCTGGACAGAGAGGTCGTCATTCTTCTCATCAAAATTTCGTTAAGGGAGTCATTAGGATATTGCTGTTTTAGCTGAGGTTATGAATTGGTACCTTTTTCACCGACAAAATTCCTCTGTAGAATTATGAAAAAGGTATCAAACAAACTTCGAGTGAGCGCATTTTTAGTGATTTTTGCAGGCAAAGCATTAGTTTTTAAAGCTGACCGAAATTTTGTACGTTTTGTAGCATTAAAATTCTATATGGCCACTGGTCAGAAATTGCCCACCTAACCCTCCCCTTAGTGAACACTAACACTTACTTCTCACTTTGGGAAAAATGTTGGCTTAGGGGAGAGGTGATGGGCAGTTTCCCAGAGACGTATAATGATCCGTTGTATGCATAATTATCAAAATATTTGATTATAATTACCTCCTTAAAAGAACCCGGTGTAGTGACTAACTTGTACAGCATGACAAACGGTATACAGGCGATTGATGAAAGGGCCATGATCCAACCAATGGCTTGTCCCCAGTCTGGATAATCATAGTCGTCATATTTGAGCGGCGAATATGTCACGAGACTAAAAATGAAGACCGCCTGTTGGGGAAAAATGAAGTCACTTCAATGTACGGAATAGTATATTCCGCGACGCAGTAACAAAAACAAACAAGCGAGGCATTCTACACAGGCCTTGAAAAACGTCCCGTCCAGTAGTCCGGGACAAGTAGATTTTCTCTGGTCAAGTAACTTTTTAAGCTCATTTGTACAATGGGCAAAGGTCCCAGCAAGTCATCTTCTAACTAAATCATTAACTAAGACGAGCAAGAAGTAGCCCCGGGCAAGAAAATGCGAGAGCTGCTTACTAAAAGACAAACAAAAATTCAAGTTTTTTTTCGAGGCCCGATTATACACTTCCGTTGTGGTGAGTGGAATGGCAACATTCAAAAAGGCCTTAATTTTAGAAGAGGGAAAATCTAGACGTGTTTCTGTAGTAATTTCATATTTTCGCTGAGGTCATTCCCGTCAAAAGTTACCAATGAGTTGTTTATGTTCAAGAAACTTCATATTTGAAATAAAATTGGGGGGTCCCCATACTTTTTAAGGAGCAGCAGCAACTTGTAAATACGCAAAAACTCATTACACGTGATTATATTTAAGAGTACATGCTTTGAACACACTAATTTCCGACCATTCCTCTTTTTTATCACCATACTCATTTAAAAGAATATGACGATTTACCGCGCGCATCTCTGGTATTTGCAGCCTTGATGAAAAAGCCGCCATGTTTTACTGTGCGCGCGCGATTACTCCTGAAAATTGTGCGCAGCAAAGATGCGCAATGCAGTGCTAAGCAATAACCTTAAATTCGTTTCCTCACCAAGCAAAAGGCAGGTGTCATCAACATCCAGCACCAGCGGCACCAGGGATTGATACGAAATCCAATCATTTTTTCCATGTCGTCATAGAAGCGCTTTCCACCTGAATGATGATATATATAAAACGAGTTACAACTTAACAAATCAACGACATTTTCCTTTCCTTTTATGGGTCAACAATAATAACAGTCTAACGGCGTGGGGCATGATAAGATTATGTAACCGACCCAGCATAAAGAAGGAAAAGTATAGTAGGCGAAGCTTCATCAGGTCTCTTACGAGCGTGTTTTAAATCTATAAACCAATGCTGAAGAAACTATCTATTTTTAAGAAACAAGTTGAATCAAATTGAATTCTTAACCATGTTGAAGGAAGTGCAAACGAACCAAACTGAAGCAGATGTAATGCTGTTTATTATGGCTACGTGAGTAGGCAAGATGGAGATATCTTGCCTTGTTTGTGTCCATAAAAAAAAATTCCTGCTGCAAAGAAATACATAGACTGACCTGTCTTATTTCTGGTCATGTTTGATGAACATCAGACTCTATTATAATTTTTGCTATGGATGGACGATGTGGACCTCATCACTTGTCAATAACACAAACAAAACGCAGGTCGTTTTATTTCATATGGCATTTTTCTCACCGTATATCCAGCCAATGGCGATACTTTGGAAGAGAGCCACCCAGAGGAGAGCAGAACCACTGGCGGAGTAAGCATCAAATATTTGAAAGACATACATACCACCCTAAACAGACCAAACACAAGCAGAAAACCGCCATTAGTCGAGGCGAACTTGTTTAGCATCCGATCCTTATTAATGTAATAATTTCTTGACAGAAATCTCCCGTCAGAGTCGTTTAATGGTGACAAGGTTTTGTCCTCACTTTGCAGGCGTTTGCATTGCTCTGGATATCCCAATGCTGCTTATCCTAAAAAAGGAAGACCTTTTCCTTGAGACCACTCGTCTACTATCAACGTCGCATGGGTTGAATTCCCGAAATCGCCTGTATGTTGGTCGCATTTGTTGTTAGCTATAGTCCTTTTCCCGCAAAAACAAACCTTTCAACGCATAAAAAATTTCCAAACTTTTTTTAAGTACCTGAGTGTTAACTGAGTAAACAAATACAGAACAATTTCAAATTTAAAGCGTAAAATTTGCAATTCTATTATATGTTTACGACCTGAAATGTTATGAAGCAGGAATCCGTTTCTGCAGGTATGTCAAGCTCATAGTTATAGGTTCTATTTAATGGACTTAGCTCCAATTAACTGAACACTTTCTCCGGAAGATTTATCAGCATCAACTCTCGTAATCTGATGTCCTCGCTCGGTAAAAATGGTGTAACCTAACTCGATCGATACCTAATCGAGCGTTGTTGTCGGGTAAGAAAATACACCGTTGCAATGACCGTCGCTTGAGTTTTGGTTTCCTTTGCAATTTGAGTGCCAAAGGACACATAGGGAATGGGAGAAAAATAAAGAGGCATCAGTGGCGGATCCAGGAGAGGCCCAGGCCCCCCCCCCTTCCTTATTTTTAGACCAAACTGAGCCCCGAAGGGCTGAGAAAAATTTTTTTTGAGACCGGGCCCCTTATCTCAGGGTCTAGATGACCATCCCCACCCTCCCCTCCCCGTCCCTCTTATCTGAAGGTCTGGATCCGCCAATGGGCATAATATTATTACTAGATTATTTTCCATTGTCGGTTCGCCTCTCGCTTCTAAAATATTTACTTTGGAAAAGATACTGCAGTTACCACCGACCAACAAGCAAAGTGAACGCTTCACAAGTTGTGAAAACTTCGTTTTACCGGTTCCAGACCTTACCCCCACACCCCTGGCATTACCTCTTTTCTTTATAATCTGTGGTGATGTATGTGAAGTGAATAGCAAAAGTATCTGGAAATTTAACCCAAAGCGGAAGCCTTGAGTTTATATTAGAGAGATCTTGAGACTTTTAGATCCCAAGAGGAGGAGGAATACCTTAGGTCAAATTTCGCTCTCCGTAGTCGACGTCGTCATGCAATCTAAAGGTCTCTAATAATAATGCTTTACACTACTACATGAGAAATTTCAGCAATTTGATTCGCTTAGAGCAGTGGTATTTCAGCTTAATTTGAAATACCTACATGTGAAAATTACAAACTTTCTGCGGGTAGCAGTATAAGCAAATAATAGCATGATTTGTACGTGATATTTGGCATAAATACCACTCGTGATATTTCAAAATTGTCTGAAACTTCACTCACCTAACGGCTCGTACGTATAACAGTTTTCAAATATCACTCGTCGTATTTCTGCGAAATATCACTACTAATTATGCTATTACCTATACTAATACAATGATATTTACCAGACAACTTTAGAGGAATTACGTAATTAGGTAGAGGGGACGAGTAATTGGGGATCGCGAGAACTTAGTTTTGTACATGTAAGTATCTTTCAGAAGTTCAGAAAGAAGAAATTAGACTTCTCAAAAATCTCAAGTAATCTACTTAAAATATAAAGATAGTATTAGCCTCCACTTGAAAACACCAAGAATAAAAAATACTACTTAAAAAAAGCTTTACAAAGAACGTCATCTAAAAATATGATGACCGATTAAATCTTCGTAGAACTAAATAGTGCAAGAGCTACTCACTTACAAGGCCGATTCAGCCATTATTATAAGAGCTTTAAAAGTTGCCATTTGGGCGTTGTAAGACGTTCAAAAGTTCCCTTACTTTGTTCAACTTTCAGTTTTGCGCGTACGTCAAGAAAATGTCACGAACTTAAGAGTGTGTCCATGAGAGAACCAGGCAGGAGGTGATAATGCTCAAATCACGGATTTCTCTCAAACTTGGCACAATTGATGGGTGTGGTGAGATATTAACCTCGACAAAAAATAAGGTCGCAATATTGAATTCCCTGGGATTTACAGGGACCCCCTCTAAAAACGACAAAATCTACTCATTTTTGCATAATTAATCAGCTGACTTTGGTTTGGCTGTTCAGCAAGAAGAAAAGACAACTTCAAATCTAATCAACTTTATCATCTTCTATGTTTATCAAACTTAATGCTCAGTAACTTATTTTTACTCTCTAATTCGATCTCTTCCTATTATTTAGCCTAAAGTAAGGACATCTTCTCACTGTTTTGACCAAACCCTAAATTTAAGGTATTTTAGTGGCTAACATCTCCCATGAGCAACAACCTATGTACTTAATTCTCACATATTCTTTGAAAGACATCTTTAAGGTTATCAAATCAATCATAAAATATTTGGGCAATCTCATACTTTATCAATAATGACGTATTATGTACATCTAACTTGACGCTTATTTGTCATTTGACCAAAATTGGAAGAAACGTAACATTCGTTTTTTTAAACAAAAATAGCACAAAGTTGACGAGAAGTCACAAATCAGATGCGTCATTATCGATACTAATAGCGGAATTGTTAGAACGTGTCACCTGAGGCATGTTTTCTGTGTTATTTATGGACGTTTGGATGGATATTTTATGGAACGCTTGAGTAAACACAAGGAGCAAAAGAGTTAGTTCAAAACTTCGATCGGTCCAACTTGCAGGTGAAGCAAGACCCAACAACGATAAAAGATAGCGAATAAATGCTACATACACGTCTCTCAGGTGCTTTAGTCCAGACTTGCTGCTCCAGTTTCGTCTGGTCCTTTGTGGCGTTACTTCTTGACGAGGTAATGAAATCGAAACATCTTGAAACATTGCAGAATTAAAAGTGTCGGCTTTTCACCGAACATTCGAAGTCTTTGAAAAATGTTGTAGTCAGAAAGAACAAAATCATTCTCAAAGGACAAGAAGGATCACTGACAATCCGTCTATATCTACAACCACCTGCTCGAACACCCTCCATCTTGACTTTATACTCTGCCAAAAAGAGGGAATCTGTGACGCCGGACTACCGGACTCCGGAATGCGGAATACGCTATGTATTGTTGTGCGCGCTAATATCCTGTTATAACTGGTGTGTTGAAAATAGGTTGTGAAAGTCGTGTTACTTCAAATTTTGAGTTTATTCGATGTTGACATTAATTACCATGATAATAATGGTCCATAATAGCCCTTTTTGTATTCAGACCGTGCCATGCAATTTTTAGACAATTAATGCCTTGCCACTGCGTATAATTACTTACTTAGTTGTATTTTAATCCTCGTAGTCTTACAACTATACAGGTTGGTATCTGTATCTGGGTATATTATTGACTACAAAAATATAATAATAACCGTTTATAAACGTGTTGACGAAAAACTTCTGAGGAATACAAAAGACCCAAAAGGGGGCACTAATACATTACAAAAAAGTCGGCTAGACTTCTTTGGCTAATTGTTAAATATTCACTTCTCATTTAAGCTGTCATTTGCGGATTCATACACTAGATTAAGTTTTCTTAACGGACACTCTCGTATATAGCGAATAGCTCTACTTACGACCGCCATCACAAAATCCCGTTTCAACTCCCACACAAACTCTGTATTTTTACATTCCCGTAGGCGGCCGCGGACACTTAAAGGGTTTACCGGCGAATTAGATGTTAGCTTTGATTTAAAGCTCTCCTAAGCAGATACTCGAAAGAAATCTTATCCGCCTCTGAATGTTGTTGTTGTTTTTTTTTCATATCATGTCCACAGTCATATGGCTGTTTGTCACTGTTATGAATCATTCTTATATATCCATTTCAGAGTTACCGTTTTTTCACATACTCGTCCGGTTACACTTGAAAATAAAAACTGAATTGTATGCTTTTACCTAAATTACAAAAAGGCAAGAACATCAGCGTAACCATACACTAAAAAACAGTTTTTTGCTATTACCAGTGTTAATTTGTAGCTGGGAGGAGCTTCCGTAAGCGGCTATCTAACTTTTACACCGCTTTTAAAGTGGCTGATTTCCACTTGCATAACTATGCTGCATATGAGATTCATTCTTGTAAGCGGCCAGAACCAGTTAAGGACACCTTTTTCTCGTCCCGAGGGCGCCCTCGTACGAGAGCTTCCACTGTATTACAATTTTAGGATTTCTCAGGGGCACCCAACGGATCTGTTCCTCAAAATATCTGTTCTTCATGCAAATTGTTGCTGGCTGGGAAATGTGGAAGAAATAATAGTCCTTGGAAGGAAAGTGTTGCTGGGAAAAAGATAATTCAGGGTGTCAGAGGGGATTTGAAGTCTAGAATAGCTGCTACGGGTTACTTGTATGAGTTGCTTACCACTCAAGATCTGAATTGTGCCCTATGAAACTTCCCAGTAAGTCAGGTTGCAGGTTGTAAGGTTGCTGGCTGGGAACTCTTCCATCAGTCTTGCTGGGAGTGAGGAACAGATAATTTTTTTCCAGCAATCTCCCAAAATGTTTAAAATAGTCTCAGAAAACTTTATTCACGCTTTGTTGTTGTTTTTAGGTCTTTTTCTCAAAATTTCCCGTTGGGTGCCCCTGATTTCCCTTACATTTTAACAAATTTTCGCTTAACGAGGCACAGTCGAACCTACGTGCGACCACCCAACTTAAGTGACCACTTCCTAATAAGCGATCACTTATTCAACACACCAAATATATTATCAAGTCAAAGCGCTTGTAGTTGGAACCTCCTGTAAACGAACACATCCACATCCAGTAAGCGACCGCGACCACTTTTTACGATGACAGTCTTATTGAGAATTTTCCGTGATGCAATGGTCTGATCTCTGCGTTCCCTGTATGTCCCAAGCTACTCGGAGTATGAGAGGAACTTTAGAAACAAATTAGATTTATCTATAGTATATTGTGACTTAAAAATTGCATGCAGTACATTCACTCCAAAAAGTAGATGTGTCCGCACTTTTCCTCGTTAAAGACCTCCTGCAGTTCGACTCTCGTAAAACGAAATTTTCCTTGGGCAACCCCATGGGCATTATTTACTGGGTGTCTTCCGACCACGCACGGACCGGGACATCAAATGTCTGTAACTTAATTGTCGTGTCTGTCCATAATTCAACATCTGCCTGCCTCAGCACGGCAGACGGCTGGGCACTAAACTGGTTTTGGCCCTTCCGAGATCGATGTCTAGGACGAGAAAATTGACCTTACCTGGGTAGGGTGAGAAAGTGCAGTACATTCACCCCAAAAAGTAGATGTGTCCGCACTTTTCCTCGTTAAAGACCTCCTGCAGTTCGACTCTCGTAAAACCAAATTTTCCTTGGGCAACCCCATGGGCATTATTTACTGGGTGTCTTCCGACCACGCACGGACCAGGACATCAAATGTCTGTAACTTAATTGTCGTGTCTGTCCATAATTCAACATCTGCCTGCCTCAGCACGGCAGACGGCTGGGCGCTAAACTGGTTTTGGCCCTTCCGAGATCGATGTCTAGGACGAGAAAATATACCTTACCTGGGTAGGGTGAGAAATTTGAAATCGAAGTATTACAGTTGAAGTATCTCTCGGAGGGAATGTGGGAAGGGTGTTAAACATATGGAAGCGGTTGTTTGAGAAAAATATCTAACTCAATGTGAAAGTGTGGTGTATTTTGAATTCTACTTGGGAACATTAGTGCCACAGTTAGGCTTTATAAGACCCCCAAAAGACCGTGCGAGATAAAAAAATTCACTGTTTATGACAGTCAAATCTGGTGCCAGCAGGGTAGGCCATTTGTACGCAATTTGGACACTCCCCCGGGGAGAAGGGACTCCAGTACGAAAAAAAAAAATAGAATTCTTGTCGCAAGCCAATCTTGACGTGTCTCACGCTTTATTTGTCTCTTTGAACTGGTCTGCACCAACATCCGGCTTTACTTCGCTTCTATTTCATGTGCAACTAAAATAGAAAAGATAGTTTTTTCCAAAACACGAAGACAAAACGACTTCTATCTCCGAGTTTGAGAAGACATGGGATCATTTATAATCATGGTCTGAATAAAGTTGCCAATAGATTTGGAATTCTAAATTATTTATCAACATACAATAACAATAAAATAATCTCAGAGAATGTCGGAAAGTCATTTTGTTCACTGAACTCTGGCTCCTGGCTCCTGGCTCCTGGCTCCTGGCTCCTGGCTCCTGGTTCCTGACTCCCGATACGATCTTTCCGTATGGTGCCAACCGCTGCTTAAAAATGCGGGCTCCATTTAATGTCAAAGATGTCGGACGTTTGCAACATGTGAATTGAGCTACAACAGTGGCAGAAATAATTCTTTCAATGGGTTAAGAATCGGCTTTCTACCTTTGGTATTGTTTTGTCCTAAAACAACTTGATTTGGATTTTGGTGCGTAAACTTATGGCTAAGGAATTTTAGTCGTACAGCGAGTCACGACGCTGAACTACGCTGAACTGGACATCGAAGGTGGCATGAAGAACAAATCAAAGCGGGCACAAACTAGCAGTTGAGACATCTAAGAGATACGTTTATGGATTTTATTGATCGCTTATTATTGTTTTTAGGGCGAAATTGTTAAAGTAAGTAGAACTGTGAATTAAATCTTCGTATGTTGTTTTTACTTGAAAAGATCGCGTATATAGCTATCAAAAATCATCGTTAGCGTTTCTTGCACAACAATTTTTATGATTTTACCCTTATTAATGTTAAATCATTGTCTGATGAGTTTTTTTGTTCGATTTCTCCTCATTCAAAGGCAAACACACGAATATTGTGAGGGCCTGAATTTTGATGAAATATGCAAAAGTCGTTCAGTCACATGAACAGTTTATGTCAACACATGGACGAAAGTGAATTGCCCAAACTTTTTATGATCTTTTTCTCAACTTAAGTGATGGCTTTAACTACTCATGCAAAAGTTATAAAGATAAGCGGTTGCTCATCAGAGATATTTGGGAATAAAATACCCTAATTTTACGTCTTACTCAAAACTTGGAAATGATGACCCAACTTAAGGGGGCTAAGAGGGGGGAAATGGAATCGGCGACTTTAAACAGTTTATTGTGCTTAAAGTCTTATGATGTCTGATTATCTCTCAGTGCATTTAAGTTCCAGGTGGCTTTTCTGTTTGTTGCACTGGCATCGTAGAGTTCGCTAATTAATTATGCATAAACGGGCAAAATGGCGATTTTTACAGGGGGAGCCCGGATCTCCCAGGGAATTTAATATTTTGACCTGACATTCTGTCACATAAACTAACTCCTGATACCTAACATTTGTGCTAAGTTTGAGCGAAATCGGTGATTTGAGCATTATCACCCCCTGCCTGGTTCTGCCTGGTTTTCTCATGGACACACTCTTAAAAGATTAACATGTAGAAACAAAAAAGACCCGTTTGGACTTGTTAAACTGAAGGTGAACCAACTCTTAAAAACATTCGAGTATTTAGCAAGAAGCTTTAAAGGTTACTAGCATGCAAAAAGAACAAGGAAACAACATAAATTACTACAGTATGCATTACTTACAAGTCAATCTCATTATTCAAGGTTTGGCTAGCAAGCGACCACTAAACCTCTGCAAAGAGTAAGGGCTATAAATTTCGTTGGAAACAAAATTTAAATACACGCTGCTTGACGGTCACCTACTTCAGTTTCTAAGTATGCATGTACGTGTATTCAAGATAACATACCATGAAGGCTCCCGAAAGAAAACATACAAGTTTAGGCTTGCCGTGCTAATGTTAGATCAAAATTATACTTTTGTACTTTAAAAAAGACAAATGTGTAGAGCGATCTTTATAACGACACGCACTTAAAACGTTATTTATAACAACTTGGTTAGAGAGAAAAAAAAAACAGAACACCTACAAAAAAAAAACAAATCAAAAGTAAGAAAATCAAAAAGTACGTATTATAAAACAGGTAATATCTCTCTTGTTCGCCTAATTTCAGCACTCTGCTCCCGGGTACACGAGCACAAAATAAGAGGCTGAAAAGATTAATGACGCAAGAACAAAAGAAAGGATATAAACAAACAAACAAACGCTAAAAAGATTAACTTGAAACATTCCCTATTTAACTGACGCGCACGTAGCGTTGATCTCATTAATCGCAGTGTTTTTGTTCAGCTCTCATCATGGTTCAGTGTTTCGCTGTTTTACTGATTCTCTGTTTTTCTGGGGGTTCACTGGGAACAACTACCTCACCTCAGCAACAAAACACCGCAAAGTTAAAAGATTTATGCGAGGTAAGAAGAGAGAACTATTATACCTTTCAAAAGAAAGTTCACAATAACGTTGCACGGGAACGGCCTGCCACTTGACTCATTGCTACCATTCAAATACATGTACAGGCTTTTGCACAGTTATAACACGTAACACGTAATACAGTTAACATATTTCAACTGTCGACCTTTTTGTCCCTGCTTCACAGACTAGGAATTCAAACGACAGTTTTTCGATATCACACTTTCTTCATCACCGGCTATTGTGCTCTTACAAAAGAATTGAAGCGACGGGTGGGTGACTATTAGCTTTTAGGGTAAAGAGGAATGAATTAGTTCATTGTCACGAATGTTTGATCGAAACTTGCAGAAAACTGACCTTCAGTCGTGGGGAAATATTCTGTAATCCTTTCAGAAATCGCTGTTTTCAAGCACATGCCACAACTGTTTTTTCAATTTCATCAAGGTCTAAAAACAAGGTATAGTGCGTTTTCACCCACGTGGCAACCATCTAAGCATATTTATTGGAACAAAAGAAAGCATTTACATAAGAAAAAAATCCAACTTCCACATAATTATTGTGGAGCACCAACATAGCCGCCGTCCCGCGATTTAGAAAACTAATATAGTTGCCGTGACGTCACATGTGAAAACACTCTCTTTAGAAAAACAAATAGACCAAAAAGGCCCAGCTCGCACCCCCCCTCCCCCGACGTCTTTTAATCTAGGGCATCTATATTTTCAGAAATCTATACTGGGTCATGGTTTTCCCGGCATACCGGGATCAAACGGCATGCCGGGAATGCCCGGTGTTCCGGGGCCGCAAGGACCTCAGGGAAGGGAAGGTGCAAAAGGACAAAACGGTGATAAAGGATCACAAGGAACGCCGGGTCCACGAGGAGACAGAGAGCGCGAAGGGCCTCTCGGGAAGAGTGGACCGCCAGGAATCAAGGGAATAAAAGGTGAACAGGGACTTGTGGGATTGAAAGAAGAGCCAGGCATTGTGGGAAATCAAGGAAGAAAAGGAGACAAAGGAGAGAAAGGAGAAAGCGTCAAAGCAAGTCAAGCAAGTGTAGTACCACAAACCAACTGGAAACAATGTGTGTGGAAATCAGCTAGCGATACTGATAACGGAAAGATTAAGGTAAACAAGGGACGGGCTGAATGAGAACAACAACTCGGGTTTTTCCAAAGACTTTTTAACGAAAATTTACAGCTATATGAATTTTCCTACCACTCTCAACTTTTAAATCCGCTCCCTGCCAAAGCCGTATTAAAAATATAATAATAGAAATCAGTTCATTCCTTTTGGTTTTATTTCAGGATTGCAGCTTCAACAAATTGAAGGCCGACACAGCTCTTAAAGTCTCATACCAGGGAAATGTGAGAATGTATAGTGATGCGAAGTGTATTCGATTGTACTTCAAATTCAATGGAAATGAATGCAGTGGACCAATGACGATCGAGGCTGGTGTGTACAGTGACTGGGCTGGGGTATCCCAGACCTTCTTCACCATCGGTCATTTGAGGGCTACTGCGAAAACATTCCCAAAGGAACGGTTCGGGTGGAATTATGGGTAGGCCAGTGTAGTGGCTATAATTTGGGCAATGCTTACACCGGCTGGATTTTCGTGTCCCGTATAATGATTGAAGAAGTATCCAGGCCGCAGTCCTAGAAATTAGCATTGAATAAGGAGACTATTTTGCTTATAAAAGAGAAACTATCTCTTTCAGTAGCAAAAACAATTTAGCAAACTTAATGAATCTAGAACAGTCAGATATCGTTAATTCGCTATGCCTTGAAATTATTATATATCGTCCTTTTTCGTTTAGTTGATGTGATGTCTTACAAGATTTTATCAACTTAATAAATGTAGATGTAGATTCAGTTATGATTTTATTACAAAAGAAGTAGTTTGCGGGTATAGTAGAAAACAGAAAACCTAAGGACAAAATTCGTCCTTAGAATTATATCAAATATGTAGATTCAATAAAGCGTCCATAAGAAAACAATTATCATGAAATTCACAGTCAAAGGGCAAGTTTGACCCCAGCTTTTCAAAAGCCGTCAACGCTATATCCACCAAGTATTCTTATCCAATGAATAGCGCAATTTGATTTTTTAATATTTAATCCCTGAATATTGGTTTCTACAGCAGATCGTGCTTTCCAGCTGTTAGACAACTGGGGCTTGGTGGTGGCTTTCTTTGTAACAGGGAGGAACGGGGCTCAGAGTTAGTTCCCTGGTGGGGGAATGTTTTTCTGTGCATGAATAGTTCTGGTCAACAACATTATGAAGGTTATGTTATTACTAGCTTGAGCTTTTTCTATAAGAATAATCAAAAGCGCGTTACAATTAGTCACTTTTCCCATTTAGTAACCATGAACAAAACTTCAAGTAAGTGCGTTTGAAGCCTAGCCTGTGATCATGCCTTGTAAATAAAGGTTACTCAAGGCTAGTAACATGCAACCTAAACTCAATGCGCGAGACGATATATTAAAAGAAAATAAAATCATCTAACCACTAATTAAGATAATTAGATTTCATGCTTCAACGCAGTAAAAGTAAGAAAAAGTTACTAATTACAAACAGCCATGGTTCAATGCAATTCCTGTCACAATGTAAGTATTCGGCATATTGGATTCTTCATACTATTTACAGACAAAAATTACTGAAGGTTAATTTTCCCAGCCCATAAAATCTTACTCAACGCCAGAATAATTGTGGGGAAAAGGGGGCAATGGATGACGTGCTCCTACGAAAGACAGTTCGCCACTTTTCTGGTGATATTATGAGGATCTACAATGCACGAGATTGGCCGAGCCGTGGGAAGATCTCGTGAAGAGAGTTGCCTGTGACAGAAAATGAACTGTTTTGTCTTTCTTAAGGATTTAAAGCGATCTCGGGTTATTAGTAGATTGACTTGAATTTACATTGATGCATACATTAGCTAAAGGAAGCGGTTGATATAAATTAACCAATTCATCAAGTAAAAGACAGGCTTAGATAAATGCTGGTGCAAAATAACTGTTAAGGACAGTTATCGTTCTCTCGGAACTTTTATAATCAGTGCCTTTTCATACTTATGGTCAGTTTATGGTTCCCTTGAGAGCCTGTAGAATTTATATTTCATTGCTAATTTTATGCACGGGTCGTTGTCAATTGCGTCTCGCCGGTGTAGTATCTAGCGTTCTGCCGTTGCCGTTTGTCTTTCTCCGCATTGCCACACAATCGGTAAGATTTGTATTTCCTAGTGCCTTTTTTCTTTCTTAGTACGTTCTCCTTATTGTTATTTTTCAGTATTTAGCAGCTGGAAGTTTAGTGTTTGCATGAGATGCAGCCGAGCCGCACAGTCTGAAATTATTGAAGTCTTCAACCAAAGAACAACCATGTAAAAGAATTAAATAGTTATTTCCTTGAATGAAAGTCATTTATAGCCATGTTTAGTTTCCCGGCATTGAAAACCCCGGGTGTTCTTGACTGCAGTCATCAAAGTTGAAGTTGTTATTAAATCCCGCCCACCGTTTGTTTTGATTTCTTGTTTTCTCTGATAATAAAAAAATTATTAAACGGACTAAAATTTTATTTCCTGGTTTTAGTGTTAATACACTCTTTTTTTTATAAGAATATATTTTGTAAGAATATCGAGGCTGAAATTTGCAAAATTTTAAGAATATTTTAAGAATAAAGCCGAGGCTGAGATTTTGAAAAGGATGAATACAATTTTGTGTGTTGAAACATCTGTAAATACAATACAATTTTATGTTTTTAACTTAACCGCATAAAATTATTCCTTTCTCTGAGCGGCGAAACTAGCCAACAAAACGAAAAAACCTGCACTAGCTATAGCACAATGTTCAACGCTAATGACAGTTCGATGAACGGTACATGTAATACATATGTACAGTATTCAGCACGAAAGACATAAACTGACTGCAACGAAAAGCGATGGAGCACGTGCACAATGTAACGCGATACAGGTCTAGATACCAAACAATTGACACCCCAATAAATTCTAAAACGGAAATGTCATAAGCTTTAATTTAAGAATAATACAAGAATATTTTCAGCCTAAAATCGGCAGAAAAATAAGAATACTCAGCCTGGGCCGGAAAAACAACATTCTTATAAAAAAAAAAAAAAGAGTGTAATAATAATGACGTCTTTATTTTGGTTTCTTTCAAAGTATTGTTTTTCTTTTCTTAGTTGTCGCCTTCTCTCAAATTAACTTATGCCAAACCAGTGGCATGCCAGCCAGTAAAAACAAATTCGTTTTGTCGAGCGCTCGCGACCTGCAAACTTCAAACATCATTTTCACCGTTGGTGCGAACAGATAACCCTGTGGTGCAAAAGTTTGACGCTAGAAAAATATATAAGCTTTCGAATGAAGCGATTTTTTTCGTCCCCTTTTTGTCTGTTTCTCCCTTTTGCTTTTAAACTTGGTGCGACGGCAATGTTATGCTTACGCAATTGGTTTATATACTAGACCGGAAATAAAAAGCTGACCGGATGTTAAATTTTTGTGCTCATGCGCAGTGCGTTTTGCTGCGGTGTTAATATTGAGTATAGGTCCTTTGCACGATGACGTCATTTACTGGGACTAGAAAAGCACTAACTATATTTCTATAAATATTCAAATAAGTCATCATTTTTGCATCCACATTTACTCCAATATGTGTGAAAACCCGAGAAACAATGCCAGTACTGGCAAAGTATTGGCCCAGTCTGCCACTTCATTCAAAGTAAACGAGGACGGATCCTCCACTATAGTTTACCGACCATATCCAACAACAACAGTCACACGGCAAATCATTTTCATATATCTTTTGTGTCTTGTGTAAAAATGAAAGAGTAATAAACAGTTATTCGCCGAAGAACAAGCTAGTTAATATTGTTGAATACTCCCCAAGACGAAGCCTAAGAGATGATTATTCAACGATATTCGCTGAGCCTCAGAGGTGAATAACTGTTTTACTACATGTATATAAACAATAAACGAATAGTTTAATTAACGGGTGAATTCGTGCGTGGACTTGTAGTCGTAAACAGTACTAGTAGATGCGCAAAAGTTAGATCTTTGCAGTATCTTCATTGAAACATGGTAAATCATAGTTTTGATCTTTTTGTAAGCTGTAGCATCAGTGGTTTAAAAGAAAACGTCAAAAATTTAAATCTCTCGCCCTTCTAAGAAGAAACGTAGAGCCTTTTTTTGCTTCTGCGAACTCACCGCCAAAGAGAAAGTTTCTTTTTCGCTTCTTGCAAATCCTGTCAACTGTCAGCGGCTACGATAGAGGTGAATGTTGTTAATGTTTATCTGGAGTACTCTTTGTCTTGTTATCTTGCTGGCGCGTACAATTTTCGAAAATTCTTGCCTCTCCTTTTTTTCCATAAATTAACTTCCCTTTATAAGCAAAATTGGACCTGCGACGAAATCCCTAGCTCACAAAACAGCGAGCGTATGAAAAGTCAGCTACAGTAAATCACTTGACAATAAAAATGGTAAATCATGTTGTTTAAACAACATGAAGTCTTTCTTACCTTCAAAATTATTAATTTAACACAAGAATATTCTTGCTGTATTTTCAAAAAGTTCTCACTCTGAAACTTTTGTAAAACATCCAGTTCACGACATCGATTTTGTTTTGCTTTATATTCAACGCCTAGAGCGGTGAATAAAGCGTCATAGTCCGAGATAGAGAACCAATCAGACAGTTTCGTACATTTTATTTTATTTTTTATGTTTCAGGAAGGTCCGGATAAAACTTAAATGTGACAAAAAGAAGTACCCTGGTATAACATGAGAGGTTGTTCTGGTTTCTCAGTCTTCGACTTCATATCATTACGTGCGTTTTATTTTGTTTTAACAATTAATCGGTTCATAGAGTAATTTCTCTATATTAATATTCGTACTTAACTCCGACGCTACCGCTTGGGGAAATGAAACAAAACTAAATGTGTTAATCATAGCATGGCTGAGCCTCAAAATGATTTCTTTTCTTGTTTTACTCCCAAAAGCCTCACAGTCAGGTATGAATTTTAATATATCGAAATTGGTCTAATGAACAATATAGTCTAGATAGCCTATTATGTTGTCTAGAACAATGATGTTAGGATGATGTTAATATTATGGGATACATATTCTAATGACGCTGCTGGAGGCCACTGACGTCATCCAACATAAGCTTTTGAAGATTTTCCTTTTTGACACAATGAGTTTTTTTGGCTTTTTGGCTTCCCGAGTGGGATGGCATCCTTCAACCCCAACCCTCCGGCTCCGTCCCCCAAATAAGTAAGAACAAAACCCGCTTTACAACCGCCCCGTGGACACGACCACCTCGTAATCACAAAGAAACGATTTGAAGCAGCTTTTCTTTGTGTACCTTGATTCGCAAAAACCATTAAGACAAGAAGAGTGTGAAATTATTCTCTTGGTGCACTAAAACAACTGTATCTGAATACTCTTAGATTACAGGGAGGGAATGAATGTTTACACTGGGCAAAATAAGTAAAACCGGAATTTTTATTAAGTGAAATTTTTACACGAGGAATTGTGTTCCTGCTACAAGTATTGAATTTACTT